CACCCCCCTTCTACACCTCCCTTCTACACCCTCCCTTCTCCACCCCCCCAGGCCGGAGCTCCGCGTCGAGTGCCTCGTCTTAATTAACTCTTAATCAGGCTCTTAATTAACTCATAATCAGGCCGGAGCTCCGCGTCGAGTGCCTCGTCTCCGACTTCGCTGGCGACGCAGCCGCAGTCAGGACGCTCGCCCGCTCCGGGCTCGACGTGTTCGCGCACAACGTGGAGACGGTGAGAGCATCGATGACAGCATCGATGACCACCCCACTCGCGCCCTCACCACCACCCTTGCCACCACCTCCCGTCACACTCCCTCGCCACCACCCCACCCGCCACCGCCACTACCGCCACCACCACCACCGCCCTCACCCACCCCCCTCGCCAGGTGGAGCGGCTGCAGCCGATGGTGCGGGACAGGCGCGCAAGCTACGCCCAGTCCCTCTCCGTCCTCCGCCGCGCCAAAGACTTCGGCAACTGCGACGGCCGGCGCGTCTACACAAAGACGTGAGCCAGCCGAGATGCGGCAGAGATGCCGCCGAGATGCCGCCGAGATGCCGCCGAGATGCAGCCGAGCTGTAGCCGAGCTGTAGCCGAGATGCAGCCGAGCTGCAGCCGAGATGCAGCCGAGATAGCAGCCGCGTCGACGAGTGACGCGTCGCCCAGCGCGGATGCCACGAGAGGCTCTCTTGGTCGTTGCCCTGGGTTCACAAGTCGCTGCGGTCGTTGCCTTTGGTCACAAGCCGCTGCCCTTTGGTCACTCGGGGAGAGGGCCGACCAGGGCGCCTGCCTAGAGTTGACCGCCCAACCACGTCGTCGGCAGGTCAATCATGCTCGGTCTGGGCGAGACGGCAGAGGAGGCGCTGCGGACGGTGCGCTGCTGTGACTCGCGAGGTCGCAGTGAGTGAGTCGTCCATGTCTGTTCATTTAGGTGCTGCGGACGATGCGCGACCTGCGCGAAGCAGACGTCGACGTGCGCTCTCGGCCCTTAGACCCTCGGCCCTTAGACTCTCGGCCCTTAGACTCTCGGCCCTTGACGTTTGGCCCTAGAAGCGAGCCCCGCACCCCCGGGATGAGAGGGGGGTGGTCGCCTCTTCGCCAAATCTCCCCAGATCTCCCCAAATCTCCCCAAATCTCCCCAGATCTCCCCAGATCTCCCCGGCAGGTGCTCACCTTTGGCCAGTACCTGCGCCCGACTGAGAGGCGCCTCGCCGCGGTCGAGGGCGTGACTTTCACTCGCTGTGAACACTCCGCCGTGAGCGCTGAGCTGTTGAGAGTAGGCACCTCGCCGTGGTCGAGTACGTGACGCCGGAGCAGTTTGACTACTTCCGGAGAGAGGCGCCGCCACACCCCCCCCCCCCCGGGGGTGCGGGGGTCGTTTCCCGGACCTGCTCTGCGCCCTCCCCGCCCCCTCCCCGGCGGCTTTCCGCCGCCTCT